ATGAGAGAGTTTAGAATCTTGCTGTAGAAGTGAGAAAATGCAATGCTGAATAGACAAAGTTTCTCTATGGACATGTTTCTCAAATCAAAATCTGAACATCAGTGTCTGTGGATGTAGCTCAGTAGTAGTGTACCTTGCTTAGTACATGTTTGGCCCTGAGTTTAGCATTGAGTTTGTGACACAGAAAAGCAAACTAAAGCAATACCCCAAAACTTAAATACCAGAAAGAATTTATATCTATTTTGGAAGACAAAAAAACAAAAACAAAAAACCAATGAGCTAGACATGGCAGCATACACCTGTCATTCCCTCACTTGAGAGGTGGACATAGGAGGATCATAAGTTCAAGGCCAGGCTGAGCTACATAAGCCTCCATTCAGTTACTAAGCAAATAAATACAAATAAAATACATGTGGAGTAACTTGTTTAGGAAAAGTCTGTTTCAGAAATTAAAATATTCAGAGAATGAAGTTATCAGGGCCAAAAAATAATTCTGATGCTCAAGTAGAAAACCTCCAAAGAAGCAGGATTTAGTGGCACATGCCTCTAATCCCAGCACTCAGCAAGTGGAGACAGGAGGATCAGGTCAAGGTCATCCTCAGCTACATAGCAAGTTACAGGCCAGTCTGGGCTACATAAGACTCTGTCTCCAAAATACAAACAAAAAATGTTCAAAGAATATGAGTGTCATAGTTGACAGGGATGCCCACTACAGTTCTCTGAAGACTGAAAAAGTCATCTAAATGATAGGCTTATTGCTTGGAAAGAAAGCTAAATCAGTATGGGAATGTAGCTCAATGGTAGAGTACTTGTGTAGTATCTCAAGCAAAACACACAAACCAAAAACCACAAACATCGGGCAAAATATCTTTTAAATCAGTAAACCATGTAAAACTGAACAAGAAATACATTGACTAATGAACATAAAAAATTCAAACTAGAGCCAGGTGTGGTGGCACACGCCTTTAATCCCAGCACTCGGGAGGCAGAGGCAGGTGGATCTCTGTGAGTTCAAGGCCAGCCTGGTCTACATAGTGAGTTCCAGGACAGCTGGGGCTACAGGGAGACACTGTCTCAAAAAGACAAAAAAAAAAAAAAAAAAATTAAAATAAAAAAAAAAAAAAAAAAAAAAAAAAAAAAAATTCAAACTAGATATAACAGATAAAACTGCAGGCAATAGGTCTAGATGTGAGCTGGAAAGAGAAATGAATAAAATTGAAGATGAACTGATAGACAATGAAATTCTGAACCAGCTGCTGAATTCTATATAATGTTCTTACTACAAAGGGAGTTTAGGGCAGTGGTGTGCAGTTGAGCTCAGGAATTTGAGATCAACCTTGCAACATAGCAAGCCCCTGTTTCTTAAAGAAAAGATCATTAATTAATCTGTAAAATATAAACCACAAAGGAAGAAGGGTATCAAAAGTTGTTTTAATTTATAAATGAAAAGCTAGAATTTGAGACTAGGTTAGGATATTTAGAGAGAATGAAAGTGGAACATGGTGCCTGGAAGCAGTTTGAAAAAGATCAGTGTGAAGAGAAATTATAGGCTTTATAGGTGGCAAAAGAGTTGGCCGAAGGGAACTTCAGAGTATTAGGTTAAACAGCTACAAATTGTGAACATTGAAAATGCAGAAAAGTGGGAAAAAAAGAAAATTCTGACCTGAAACAGCATATAGGTAATTCACAGATCAAAATGACCTTACTTTCATGTTAAAATAATTAATTGCTGAACTCAAAAACCAAATATTAAAGGAAATAGTGGAGAGGATGAAATAGGGATGCCAAAATTTATAAAGCCAAGCTGAAAAGGTGTAAATACAAGTTGAAAAGATAATGAAAGACAAACAGACACGTTGGTGGTTGGGTGATAAGTGTGGACTTAATGTCTGCATCACAGAGAAGAACATGTTATCAAGCTAAAGAGAAACTTCAGTGACTTTCAGTGTCCTGGAAAGAAAAATTGTCATGAATACAAATTGGAAGAGACTATAGGAGAAAATGGAAGTCTTAGAGGCCCTTAAGAATTGGAGGGCTTGGAGAGCTTGCTCTGTGGTTAAGAGCCCCTGCTGTTCTTCCAGAAGCCTTGAATTTGGTTCCTAGCACCCAACCCACATCTAGCAGCTCACAACTGCCTGTAATTCCAGCTCTAGGGGATCTGACACCCTCTTCTGGCCTCCATGAGCACCTTACTCGTGCACAGATGCATACAACTCATAAAAGACATCCTTTCAAAAAAAGATTGGAAAGAAAATCTGGCTTTAAACAGACAAATGTTATACCTGAAGAATATGTAAAGGTTGTCCATGGCACATTGTGGACCTTTGTCCTCCTACAAGAGCTCACAAAATGGAAAACAGAAAGTAAGGAAGGAGATGCATTTGGAAGACACCCAAAAAAAGAGAGAATGTAAGCAAACATATTCAGAAATAAAAATCCTGGACATGTTGGTGGCGTATACCTGTATGCCCAGCATTTGAGAGTCTGAGGCATGAAGATGGGATGTCGGAAGCCAACCTATGCTACAAATTAGACCCTGTTGCAAAAATGATCCCAGACAACATCAAGAAAGGGTTTTCATAGCTCCTTCAGCATGCTGGGACACAAATGGCAAGAATTTCTTTGGTCATTTTGTCTGGTGCTGGTATCAAAGCCTTCCCATTTATTGATCCAGTAGATCAGAATAGAGAGAAACGTCTACTGAGAATCTTTCCATGTTTTCTTCACCCACCAAAGAAGATTTCTTCAAGAACCAACTTGCTCTTGTACATCACTCGACCAACTAGAACAGCTATGTAAAACAGATGTATAAGAGATTATACATATTATTATTATTATTTTGGATGTGTTCATATAACCCAGGCTGGCCTCAAACTTGATATGTAAGAATGACTTTAGACTTCCTGCCTCCACTTCCTGTGTGCTAGGATTACAGGAGTGAACTACCATTCCTGGCTTATGTCGTTTTAGTTTTGTTGCTTTTTTTAAAAAAAAATTATTTATGTAAGACTGGTGCATGCCTTTAATCCCAGCACTTGGGAGGCAGAGGCAGGCATATGTCCGTGAGTTCGAGGGCATCCTGATCTACATAGCGAGTTCCAGGCCAGCTGGTGCAAGAGGGAAACCCTGTTTCAAAAAGACCAAAAAATTTTTATTTTTTATTTGCATTGCCTGTATGTGTGTACATGCACCTGTGTTGTGCAATACCCACAGAAGTCAAAAGAGGGTGTTGGATTCCCCTGGAACCAGAGTTACAGAGGGTTGTTAGCCACCATGTGGCTGCTGGGAATCAAACACTGGTTCTCTTCAAGAGCAGCCAGTGTTTTTCTTAACCACTGAGCCTTCTCTCTAAACCCACCCCCTTTTTTTGAGACAGGATCTTCCTGTAGCCCCAACTGGCCTAGAACTTTCTATGTAGACCAGGCTGGGCCTTGATCTCACAGAGCTCCACCTGCCTCTGCCGCCCAATTGATGGAATTAAAGACCTGCACCACCACACCTGGCTTTCTTTAGTTTTGCTACCTTGTTTGTTCATGCAGTTTTGGGAATTTAACCCAGGATCTTTTACATTCTAGACAAATACTCTACCAACTGAGCCAAATCCCCAGGCCAAGAATATGTGATTAAAATATAGCTTGCATATTATGTAAATAAAATATATACATGTATTTATTTATGTAAACTAAATCATACATAAAACATTGAAGAGGTAAAGATTCTGATGAGGACCTGGCATTTTGAATTACATGACACTTGGAAAAAAGGAAAATGAAGACTTCACATCATTACTGAAAAAGAAATAAATATGAAAGAAAATGTTTTTAAAAGCAACAACAATAAAAAAGAATACTTAAGGCTTCAATAAAGACTTAGGGATATACAGAGGCAATGTAATGAATTTTGAAGTTTAATTGCTTCCATGCATGCTTCTCATATGAATCCTGTTAGCTTTTACTTAGGAGACATAGAATGTTCCTTTCCTCATGTAGGAGGAACGGCACCAAAGGGAAATGTACTTGGCAAAAGATTAGAAGAGTTAGAAACAAACATAAAACTAGAAGAATCAGATCTGGGGAATGATGTTTTTGAAGAAATGCAGATCAAGACAGGTGGAATGGTAATTCAGCTTGAAGTTTCAACATGTGACATTGAGATGCTTTCATACTAATTACACAACACCTGAATATACTTCAAGAAGGGTGGCTGCCTCATACTATTTTGTGTTAGTACCAGGATTTTATTAATGATAAGTGGAACACTAAAACAGTTTGAGCTACTTAGATTATTATTTATTTATTTATTTTTGGTCTTTTTGAGACAGGATCTCCCTGTAGCCCCAGCTTTCCTGGAACTTAACTACGTAGACCAGGCTGGCCTCGAACTCACAGAGATCGGCCGGCCTCTGCCCCTCGAGTGCTGGGACTACAGGCATGCGCCACCATGCCCAGCTTATTATTTTTATTTTAGGTGTATGCATGTTGCCTGCATGTAGGTAAGTGCACCCGTGTTGTGCAATGCCCGTGGAGGACAGAAGAGGCTGTTGGATCTCCTGGAACTAGAGTTACAGACAGTTGTTAGCTGCCGTGTGGGTGCAGAAGACCCAGGTCTTCTGCAAGAACAGCCAGTGTTCTTAACTGCTGAGCCATCTCTACAGCCCTATTTTAAATATTTTTAAATTTTAAGAATTTTTGTGTCAGGGTGTGGGGGGGTGTGCATGCGCACGCGTGCATGCACGCCTAGTACATGTGTGGCAATCAGAGGACTTGTGGTAGATAGTTCTATCCATCTATCATATGGGTTGTAAGGATTGAACTCAGGTTACCAGGCTTGGTGGCTAGTGCCTTTACCCACTGAGCTGTCTCACAGACTCTAGAATGTTTATTGACCTCTCCTTGAGAATGTAAAATAATAAAAATTAGTTAATTAGTGGAGGAAAGGATTTATTAAATGACTAAATTGCTTTGGGAGGGATTAATTAACCCATGTGATTATAATTTTAGGTGCCTGTGGCATTTGATGATGTCTCCATCTACTTTTCCACTCCAGAGTGGGAAAAATTAGAAGAATGGCAAAAGGAACTTTACAAGAATATCATGAAAGGCAACTACGAATCTCTCATCTCTATGGGTGAGGCTGAGTTGGCACCTTTTGAATGAGGTGACAGCAGTCCCAAGAGGGCTCAGACAGTGCCTTTTCCTACAGTGTCCCGATTCTCACTATCCTAACATATTTAGAATCTGATTCCAAGCCAATGAAGGCAGAGCTAACCTAGTACATGTATTTTCCCATACATTAATTTCCTCTTACCTACTTTCCTGGGTAGCTCTTGTAAATAGGTGAAACTGAATGGATGGCAAGAAGTGATACAGAATCTAGAGGAAATTAATTCCCTGGGACTGTGGACCTCAAACATGCAGCTGAGCCTTGATGGCAGTTAGTTGTCATGCCCATTTATCTTTGTCACACCCACTCTCCATTTTTCCTCTCCTAGATTATGCCATGAATCAACCAGATGTCTTATCTCAGATTCAACCAGAAACGGAACATAATACAGAAGACCAGCCAAGGCCAGAGGAAAGTGAAATTCCCACAGATCACAGTGAAGGTAAGTGGGAGAGAAGATTATATGCTCCTCAGCTCCCTTGCCTGACAGAGAAAGGGGCTCAGCACTAAAAACACAGGGCTTAGAGTTATCCAGAGTCATTCAGTGCTAAAACACTTAGATTTTGAGTGGACATTTAAATACTAGAGGTAGCTTAGTGATCACCTTGTTCTAGTACCTTCACCCATCAGTACAACACATTTAAGGATGATTAATTATATTCCTTGATAAAAGTACTGAAACCTGCTTACATGACAAAGCAAATCATCCCCAACTGAGGTAAAGTGACTTGAGGGAAAGTACATCTGGTCAGAAGTCAGAAGGAGCTCAGAGTCTATGTGGTCAGTCCCTCCATGGTGCACTTAAGCAGTTGTCTCTAATGACACCTACCTCAGTAATGTGTCTGTTCCCAGGCCTGGAGAGTTAACTGGGGAAGGACTGCTAGCCAAAGTCTAGTTGTATTGTTTTTCTCACATCCCACCTTTGCTATTAGAAAATTCTCATTTCTTTTTCTCTGTTGCATAGAAGCCAACAGAAAGTTGATTCTCCATACATTGTTAGTAGAGGAACTTCTCTTGCTATCTCATACATTATTCTTTTCAAATATTTTTTATTTATTTTTATTTTATGTATACGAGTATTTTGCCTATTTGTATGTAAGTGCACCTGTGTTGTACAGTGCCTGTGGAAACTAGAAAAGGGTGTTAGATTTCCTGGAACTGTACTTACAGATGGGGGTTAGCTGCCATGTGGGTACTAGGAACCAAATCTGATTCAGATTCATTATTCTAAGTATCTCTTTGGTCTATACTGTTAGTTGCTTGATATAGCCCTCAGCTAGTATAATTAAATGCATCATTTTATCTTGAGGAAACAAGATAAAATTTGAGAAACAAATTTTGTTTTTAAATAATATACCCAAGTTTCCATTCTGCCTTCTTGTGAATTTATTTTATCTTGTTTTGTTTTGTTTTTTAAACTTTTTGGGACAGGGTCTCCCTGTAGCCCCAGCTGGCCTGGAACTCGCTATGTAGACCTGGCTGGCCTCAAACTCAAAGAGATCTGCCTGCCTCTGCCTCCTAAGTGCTGGGATTGAAGGCTTACACCACCACACCAGGCTTTTATCTTGATTTTTCAAAAATTCCATTTCTTGCCGGGCATGGTGACGCACGCCTTTAATCCCAGCACTCAGGAGGCAGAGGCAGATGGATCTCTGTGAGTTCAAGGCCAGCCTGGTCTACATAGTGAGTTCCAGGCCAGCTGGGGCTACAGGGAGACCCTGTCTCAAAAAGACCGAAAAAAAAAAAAAAAAAAATTCCATGTCTAAGTAGTCTTTATACTTCAGTACATTTTTGTAACTGAAAATAACCAAAGAAGGTGTTTGATTTTTCTCAATACTTTGGTTTATTTTTTATGGTATTTGCTTGCATTGATGATTATCAACCTAGATATTTACCCAAACTTGAGAATATGATTCATATAACTTGAACATATTGATATGTAATATTAAAGAAAAGAAACTCACAAGACTCAGCATATAGTCATATAGCTAAGATTTATTATAGAAAACAGATACAAAGCAACATCAGCAACAGATAAACTCATGTGGAAGAAGACAGAGGCAAGTTTCCCAGAGTGCCCTCCCTATGGAGTCTCACAAGACACACTTAATTCCCCTGGCAGTGACTGTAATAACACATGCAAAATACTATCTATCAGAGAAGCTCGTTAGACACTCAGTACCTGGGGTTTTTCTTGGAGTTTTCAGACAAGCCTTTTTTGCCTACAGGTACTCAAATTCCAGATTATCAAAAAGAAAGCATTTGACCAGAATATAGCATACTGTTGGCAGTTCAGGCTCTGTAAGATTCTCTTGTAATTTGGGGCAAGTTTTGTGTCTATAGAGAACAGTTTGCCAGTTCTCTAACCTGCAAGTAGGTCCTTGTCAGGGCCAGCAGTCTCAGCTTGTGCTGAATTTCCCTCTTCCTGATATAGGAAACAAGCCTTGGTTCCTTTCTTTGCAGAAGCGTATTAACCACTTGTTCTAGTTTCATTCTTGTTGCTATGATAAAATATCCTGACAAAAAGCAATTTAAGGGAGAAAGTATTTTAGCTTACAATTCCAAGTGATGGTCCATCATTATAAGGAAGTCACAGCAGCAGGAACTTAAAGCAGCTAGTCACGTCACATTCACAGGTGAGCAGAGAGAAGTGAACACACATATGCTCACTTGCTTGTTCTCAGCTGGATTGCTCCACTCTTACCGCAGTTCAGGACCCCCTACTAGGGAATGATGTTGCCCACAGTGGGCTGGGTCTTCCCACATTAATTAAGACAGTACCCTACAGACATGCCCACAGGCCAACCCAGTGTAGACAGTCATTCATGGAGATGTTCTTGCCAGATGATTCTAGGTTGTGTCAAGTTGACAATGAAAGCTAACCATCACACTCAATAATCTTATTGTGAATTAGAAATAATAAAATTAAATTATGACACTTTCTTTTTCTAAGTGGTATCATACAGCTTTCTCCATTGAAAAGATATAGAAGCAGTAATAACTAGTTAGCAGCCATGTCATAATCTCTTTTCTCAGAGTAATTATTGATTTGGAGCCCATGACAGGAAATGTACTAGATGATCCCAGAATGGTTGTAATGCCAGAAATGAAGGAAATTCAGGCATCCGGAAAGTTCATCCTTTAGATGTCTTTTAGAAATTTCTCTTCCTCACACCCACTAACGCCTACTAGCCCCTCTACCTACCTATCTTCTTTCTTTCTTCCTTCTTTCCTTCCCTCCTTCCTATCTTTCTTCCGCTCATTCATTCATTCATTCATTTATTTATTTTGAGACAGGGCCTAACCATGGCTGGCCTGGAACTTACTGTGTAGACCAGGCTGGTCTGGAACTCACAGAGATCCTCCTGCCTCTGCTTTGGGAATGTTAGAATTAAAGGCATGCACCACCACACCCAGTTTTATTTTGTAATGTATGTATGTGGATCTAACACCCTCTTCTGATCTCCATGGGCATTGCATGACATGGGTGCACTTGCATGCAGACATTACACTTATGCACATAAAAT